AATGTTGAAAGCCTAAAATAAAATGGGTCTCCCCTGACTGATGGGAATGATGAAGTGCAGAGAGAAGGCTGGTGTTGGTTAATAGGTGGAACAGATGAAAGGAATGAGATGCTCAGAGCCAGTCACACTGTGTAGGATCACAAAGATCCGCATTAACCTATAGCTGAAAGCAGTATTAAGGTTTTATGTGGCAAAATGTAAATTTAGTGTCTTGAAATTTTGTGTAATCCTGAATAAGAATATGCTGCCAGTACTTCTCGAGACCTACCAGGAATTGGCATTCCATCTACTAACATGAATTCTGAATACCTAAGTGATTCCTGTGAAGGGGAGTGTAGGATCTCTAACTAGATCTAAGTGGTCCTGAGACACAGTAAAGAAGAGCTGTGAAAGCCAAAGTTCAACTCCATTAATGGGGCTACTACCTCAGCATTTTGCCCATGGTGGCATATTCTGTTGAATATCCTCATTGATGGCAAATCTTTATTCTTTAATGGTGATATGATTTGTACAGGCAACCAAGAGAAGACAGTAGAATACTGAGGTCAAGAACATGAGTTCTTTCTGAATAATGGTAGGCTTCATTGGAATAAAGTCCTTCCAAGGGACTACTTTAGTCTGTAGATGATATATGTTATTTCTTCTCAGGTTCCACTAATGAAAATCAGTTATATGGCCCCATCTAAATGTAGGGACTAGCACTGTGTCAGAGAAGAAGAGAGCACATGTACTCACACGCACAAGCCAACGAGTTGACTATCCTCTCCCTAAGAACCAGGCCTCCCAATGGTATCAACAGGCAGAGAAGTAGAGCCAGGGAAGCACTGTAAAGCTCTTAAAGCTTATACATTTACATTGGCAACTGATTGCATCGCTGAGAAAAACAAACAAGTCTACCGTACCCTAGATGTTCACAAATATTAATATGTATGCTGGATTTATATACTTGCTCAAATACCAAATCCTCCTACTTTCTGTTCCCTCTGTTGAACCTACCCAGAATTGTAACCAGTTTCTCCTTTTGGGGTCCTAGGCTACCCATTACATTAGATAGCCCTATGGGCCTGCCTTGGTCATTGCCCAAATTCAACCTGTTTTTCTTCCAGGTAGGGTGCGATCTACATTATGCAAAGAACCAGGTGATTGCTTTCCATTATATCTCATGATCTCAGCTGGTGTTAAACTAACCTATGTAATTTTTTTCTGTCCACGCACTTTCAGTTTTGTTTTTGGTGAAAACATGGTATTACTTTTTTTTTTTTTTGAGATGGAGGTCTCACTATGTTGTCCTGGCTAGTCTCAAACTTCTAGGCTCAAGTGATCGTTCCACTTCAGCCTCCTGAGTAGCTGGGATTATAGGCACGTACCACTGCACCTGGCTCATGTTATTACTTTTATATTTCATGGTTGATTTTACCTCACCAATTTACTCTCCAATATTATATGTATAAAATACCTCCTAAAACACACAAGATCGCTAACACATCAGTGGCCTCTGGGGATTGAACTGGGTGGCTATGGAAATGTACGGAAGATTTTAGAACTTTTAAATAAATGTTGAACCATGTGAGTGAATACCTAATCAAAAAATACTTTTAAAAAATAATAAAAAGGATGATAAGATGAATAGGGAGATCCTGTTTGTTGAAAGAGTAGAAGGAGGTAGCTGAGGGAGAGAGCGGAGAAAGACAGGAGCTATATGCCACAGAAAGTAGAACTCTAGGGAGAGATGCTTAAATAACATTTTAGAAACATTTGCAGAATGATATGGAATATAGCCACCATTCTCCAACTTCCACCAAGAAATATTCAGTAATACAAAACTAAAAAAAAAAAAAAAGGAACTTTCATGATTTGGTCTCTGCTGCAAAATTCTTATTTAGTGAATTATCTGTAGCTCCTAAAATGCACTCTCACCTTTTTGCAATTGCACTTACTACTTTCTCTGCTTTGTCCTTGCTATTTGAATCATCACAAATTCCTCCTTACCCTTCAAGATTCATCAACCCATGGCAAGCTTTAGGACTGGATAAGTATTCCTTTGTGCTTCCTTAGTGCCCTGTCCACATCTCTCCCACATTAATCTTCCCAGCACTGAATGTGTGTTTTTCTCCCTCCCTCATCAGCCCCTGTATCCCCAGTGCTTTGTACATACTAGATGCTCAATATGCTGTAAGTATTAAATATACTATCTGAAAAATGCCTACCACAACAGTGTACAATCTCCCAGAGTGTGGTAAAGGATACATATGCTAACAAATGTAAAGTGCCTGGTACGTAGTAGACACTCAATAAATGTTGCATATGACAACCTTAAAGATGAAAGAATTGACTTATCTGGCAGGTATGACATTTATGCATCTAGTTATTTCAACACATATTGCAGGTTTAAAAAGAACTAGCTACAAAAGAGGTCCAACTTGATCAATAAATGAAAGAGTCAAGGTAGATCATTTATGGAAAATATGGAAGGTAGGAACTGCATCTCATTGTTTTGAGTACCCAGTGCCCATCTGATAGTAGGTGTCTGTTGAATGAAATGTTCAGGGGCACTTCTTCAGAGAAGAATGTGCAGTACTTTAAGAATGGAAAAGATGTCCTCTCCCCTCAAAAATCAGAATTAATGAATGCCAGGGGTGGAATGAGCCTTAGAGATCATCTAGTCTAGGGGTCAGCAATCAACAGCTCCTGGCCTGTTTCTGTACAGCTCTTCAAATAAAATGTTTTACATTTTTAAAGGCTTTGTAAACACACACACACACACACACACACACACACAGTGTGTAGCCCAGAAACCCTAAAATATTTAATATTTATTATTTGCCCCTTGACAGAAAAAGTTTGCAATGCCTTGATTGAATCCAATCTCCTCATTTTACACAAGAAAGTGATGAAGTAACTTGTTCAAGGTCAGTCACTCATTAAGTTAGGGACGAAGGCTTGGATCCAAAGCCAGATTTTTTGGCTTTCTGTATGAACCGGGGTCAAAATTTTTAAAAATTACATGTAAAAAATTTAGGGCCAGGCGCGGTGGCTCACTGTAATCCTAGCACTTTGAGAGGACGAGGCGGAAAGGTTGCTCAAGGCCAGGAGTTCGAGAGCAGCCTGAGCAAGAGCAAAACCCCGTCTCTCCAAAAAACTAGAAAAATTAGCTGGGCATGGTGGCGCGTGCCTGTACGCCCAGCCACTCGGGGGCTGAG